AAGCATCCACACTGCATTTTCGCAGAAAATGCAAATTTTTCTAGTTTTTTCTGTGTGTGTGTGTGTGTATTTGTTTTTTTTTTTCTTTTTTAGAAAAACAGAAACTGCTGTTTGTCTAGCTTTAGGTGAATAGAAATTTTTGTTGTTTTTCCTTGTTTTGTTTCCTCTGTCTCTTTAGAAACTGTTTGGACTCCCACCCAAGGAATAAAACGAAGGGACTTCCTGCGTGCCAACAGTGAGAAAGCGTTGACACTGTGTGACAACTCTCAGAAAGATCTTGTTCTGTCAGGAGAGTTACAGCTGCAGGCCATCACTCTGCAAGGGGGATATTGCCACCGCAAAGGTACAAACAGGACACAAAAACATTTACATAAGCAGGTATATTAACATACTGGTACTAAACTTGAGTATTTCAGGTTCATGCCGCTTTATAGTCCTACTCCGCTGAATTTCAGAGATATTATATCTGATGACCCTCAGCTTCAAGGTTGGAAATGTGACATCAGTTTTAACAATCTAATAAAGTTAACCCCCATAAAGAACAGCTGTGTTTACTTCATTAAGTAAAAGCAGGTGTTTGAATGTAAGACTTGTAGTTGGAGCAAGTATGTTTAACCTGTTGGACTTTAGGTAGAGAGTGTTATCCATCCGTCCATCACTACCAACTAAAAACAAATGGCCATTCTGCACAACTTCAGTCTTCCAACTACACACGAGCTCCTGTTCTTACTTTTTTTGTTTCCTTACGTTAGTGAATTTTAAAATGTCCCGGTACATCCCTTTCTCCGTCCCTCCTGGTGACTCTCCTGGTCTGATTGTCGTCCTGTCTATCAACAACAACCTGTACATGTCTTGCCGCATGGAAGATAATAAAGTTGTGCTGTTTCTGGAGGTAAATATAAATTCACATGATGCAATCCCATTTTATTTCTTTTTAAAGAGTATTAAATAGACAAATTCTCCTTGCCTCCAGCCTCCCGTCTTACCCTGTCCTATAATTTTTATCTGAAAATTATAATGGGGATTTAATAGGTCCAATATTTTACTTTATATGTCACACTTTAAGTTGATGTTTATAGGCTTTTACTACTAGTATTACAACTTATACAGGGGACAGTATAAAAAATTTGGTTTTAAAATTATTTACTCTGAGTAGTTTTCCAATAACTTTGACTTACTATGTCTGAACATACCTCACATACCTCTTTAGTGCAAAATGTGGATATTTTTCCTAATGATTAAGTCCCAGTTTTAACTTTCCATAAACATTTTTCTTTTTCATTGGGACGAAATGTGTTTCCATGCATGAAAAAATGACTGGGAAACGTATTCTTTTCATCTCTTTCTGCCAGCAATACCATGATGACATTTTAACCGACAGAGACATGGACCGATTTCTCTTCTACAGGAAAACCACTGGAATTTCTCTAACCACTTTTGAGTCTGTCAAGTTCCGCGGCTGGTACATCAGCACTTCACAACAGGAAAACCAGCCCGTTGAACTGTGTAAGGTGGATGCTGCCAACCGCCTTACAAGCTTCAGAGTAAACTAAAAGATGTTGTAGCACCCACGCATCTGTATAATTTTTGACATAATCACTAGATGAAGCAATTTTATATAGTAATGCCTGAGTCTGTAGTGGCAGTGTTCTGTACTTATTGAAGTAGAAAAGCTTATGACCTAGTGTAACCTATCAAAAGCACTATTACTTTATAATACATTTACTTACAACATACTTAAAAATAAACAAAGAAAAAAAATTGGAAAACACATGCCTTCTTTGTTGGAGAAAATTGTAACAGGATATTCCTTAAAACTACTGATATATTTTCTTTTTTTCTAAAAAGCTATTATCTTTATGTTTAAGTTTATGCTATTGCTGTGGCTTTTTAGCCATTAATGCTCTGATTTAAGTCTTCTGCAGTTTTTTTGTACTAAGACCTTTAGAGGTTAAGCTTTTCCTTTTCTGATATCAGCTGGTGTTGTGGGTTAAAAAAATACTGTTATATATTTATTTTTTGAATTTCCTCCTTGTTAGCTTGTATTTTGTATTGTTTTAAAACCTCTTTTTGTGAAGAGCGTATATATCTTTAAGAACTTGTAATGTGTCTTCTCTAACCAGTGTAAGGATTTCAGTACCATATTAAAACAAACAAAGAGGGTAGTTTCAACTGGTAGATCCAATTATCTGAGAACAAAAAGTAAAATTAATTAACTGTTTGGTAAGAAAATGGGTTGTGAGAGCCTACTTTAGAAATCTGCAAATAAATAATACCCTAATCTGCTGTACTTCCTACCTACAGATCTTCCTACAAATCTTGGGATATAATTTGGGAAATTACTCTTCATCAGCAATCCATTCACTTGAGCATTGTTGTAAAAGCCGCATTGTGAACTTACAATGCGGCTTTTACAACAATGCCGCATTGTGAACTTACAGCTATGACATTTTCATGTCATAGCTGTTGTAAGCTTTAGGACCAAGTGATAACTGCTACATCTGATTACCTGTGAATTACATATACATTCATTTCTTGGAGAAATGTTGTTTTTGCATTTATTCAGGATTTATTCAAGACACATGCCTACAGGAGCCTTTTCTTCAGTACTATGTAAATCTCAAGTGAAGGAAAGAAAAGCATTGTATATGATTGACAGGGTATTTTTTTTTTTAAATTAGGTTTTGTGAAATTATATATACTGATTATGATTTATCTGTATTTTGTTGCACTATATCTTACATTTGGTGTCTAAAATCTTGTAACTGCATGTAACTGCATTCTCATAATTTCTCAAATAAAGAATGCTAATTTTGCATATTTAAAATTTAACTTGATCACCTTTGGTAATCTTAAATTTATTGCACTTGATCTGTTAAAAACATTTAGTATGATTGTTAATCGGTCCTGATATTTATGAAATTTATATTTGTGTAATTGATTGACTGATGAAAATGTCTTGAGACGACGCGGAGACTCTAGCAACATTTTAATGTAATGATAAACATCCTTATTAAGTGACCAACGCATTTCGGCTAACTGCCTTCATCAGAGTCATTGTAAAATGTGAAACAGTTTGTGTTCAAATAAAAGACAGGAAACAGAGATTTTTTTCAAATGGATGAATCACACCTTCACAAACAAACCATGTGACCAATTGACATTTAACGAGGTGGTATTGGCTATTTGGTAAATTGGTTATGTCACAGTCCAAGTGCTTATCCTGTTCCTCCTTCCACAAAGGAGCAGATACCAGTCATGCTGATGGATGAACCTTTTATGGCACTTTTCAGCTCTGCTAAAGTAACTTCCTGGCTGTATCCCAATTCAGGGTCTACAGCCTTAAAGTACACAGCCTTAACGGTCCTCAAGGGCCGCGTACTCGAAGATCGCTACGGCCAGAAGTGCGAGGCTTGTAGGCTTGTGAAATGGGACGGTCTAGCCTCGGTCGCACTGACCAGGTTGCCTAGCAACCGTGATACCAACCGCTGGAAACATGTCATACAGCTTTGTTTGACAGAAATGAATGAGGGATAACGTATTTTGTTCATTTGTTTCTACGTGAGCTCTGTGTGATTTAATGACCAGAGGACTGTAAAACATGATTGTTGGGCTTCATTTCTGTGCTGAACAGTCATTTTAAGATTAGCTAGTAAATAACAATTAGCTAATGTTGTTCATGAGACTAAAGTCATCTCACTTTGGTAATGTGAATATAATATGGCCAATATTATAGTTAATATATTAATTATTATTAGTTATTACAGCAGTGATCTTGAACTCTGTGTCAAAGATTCAAGTTGCATTTATTTATATGTCCTATCACCTTAAATCTTCACTCAAAGACAAGTATCTTTGACAGTGTATCTATAGATGTATTATATATGAGACAAATATTCTTTTAGTATGTTGGCATTACTAAATTTGGCTCAATGCTTACATATATGTGTAAAAAGAAAATGTACGAGCTGTAATAACTGTTGGTGATAGAATGAAGAGTAGACCAATATATTAAATATTCCTTTATTAGGTGAAAAAATTATACCATGTGACATAACTGCTTTAAGTCATACAGAATAGATATCAGAGCCTTAAACAGGCTGACTTCTGCTAAATGGGTCAAACTGAGCAGAAAGTACACAAACACATAACATCCTTATAGAATATGATGTAACACTATAGATCAACCTACCTCAGAATATATAAAGCATATACACAATTACAGCAACATGATGCAACAAACATAGCAGGACTACTAATCCAAAATACTCAAAGCTTCATAGAACTGAAACAAACATTTATTTTTAGGTCCATTCTGCTGCTGATACATACTTTAGGTTTCTGAATATTAAACTTGTTTCTGCCTTTCATAGTGTTTAACTTGAAGGCCCTGAGTACTTTCTCCCACACTGAGAACACTGGAATGATAAAATTATTTGAACATTAACTAATAAGACTGATTCAGGACAGACAATTAGTTATTTTAAACTTTTCTAGCAGTCCTTCACAAACAGGGAACAGTCTCTCTATTCTCTCCATCTGTCAGCTGCTGCTGGCTCTTCCTCCCCCTCTTCCTCACACACTGCTGAGTTTGTCCTGGTGGATCATCAGGGGTGCAAAGTCTCACAGATGATGTGCAGCAGTGGGTCCCTCAGTCTGTCCTCACTCTGGACACTTGCAGTTGTCACACATGGAAATCAAATGTGTTACAACGCGTTACTGTAATCCGATTACTTTTTTCAAGTAACGAGTAAAGTAAGGGATTTCTATTGCAAAAACGATAATTAGATTACTGTTACTTTCCCGTAAGCACGCTGCGTTACTAAAACCGTGATTAATTTGCGAGAGTGTCTCATGACAATGACGTAAGCGAGTGCGACGTTTGTGGCAACAGCTGTATGCTAGTAATGTAATTTTTTGGAGAACCGGCTCTTTCGGCTCGGATCACTAAAAACAGCCGCCTCTTTCGACTCCGAACCGGCTTTTCAGGGTTTTTTTGTTGCTTTAATTAATTAATTATTAAAAATAATATAAAATTATGCACAAAAGGAATTACTAATGTAAAAAAAAAAAGTGGTTTTATTTATATATGTTTATATATAAATATATGCGGTGGCCCCTAGAGACAAAGCACGTAAAACTCCAAAAAGCACCTACAAACTCTAAAACACATTTCTAGCTTTAACTGAACTTCCAAAACAGAGCTATCTAGATCACTTAAATTACACAATTGAAAGAATATGTGTATTGTTTGTGTATTTATACAAATAATAAAAAAAAAAAAGTTCATTTACCTATTACTATCACACACTAAATCCGGTCGTTGGTACTTCCTGGCTTGTGTAGCCACTAGGTAACAAAAGATCAACACTTTCTGTTTTATTTGGTTCATTACAGTTACATGTGTTCAGTACATGTGTGTTATCAGTAAGTTCAGTTTTGCATATAAAGTTAAAGTTCTAAACTAAAAATCTTTTAACACTCTTTTCTTTGTCAGTCTGATGTATTTTTGCTTTTACACACCCATTCACCTTCACCTGAGTTGTTGTATCGTTTAAGCTATGAAAATGTAAATAAATGTCACAGCTGTCGAGGCGAGCCGTGTGGTGTTGGAGGGAAAAGGACCCAAAGTGCAGGCAGTTGACTCATAATGCAAGTGACGTTTATTTACAAGTAATAGGGTGACAGAACTGGCAGTGAGAAATGACAAATGACTAAAGAAACCTAAACAACAAACCTGGGAACATAAGAAACCGGGTGCGGGGCAGAGAGATGCAGCGAGAGGAATGAAACACCATGGAACGCACCATGGAATCTTTAGATTTTATAGTAAAATGAATCATCTAACCTTTACAACGGAAAAAATATTTGTTAAAATGGAGCTAAGTGAGTCCTTTCCATAAAAATTGAAAATTAGGAAAGATGGGCAACCAACTTGAAAATTACAGCAAGCAGTTTTGAAGCTAAGAAACATTAAATCACTTTGCACCTTGTACATTCTGTGAATAGTCAATGCAGATATTTCATAAAAAACAAACTTAACAGAACCCTTTCTTGTTGTCTCTATAACAAAACATAACTTACTTGGTCTTTTAAGAGCCACAGTGGAGGGGCCAGAGAGGCACATGTGGCTTTAGAGCCGCAGGTTGAAGATCCCTGGCCTAGGTGCTGTGGAATATAACATTTTCTACATGTAGGTGGCAACCTATGAAAGCAAACACTTTATTTTTTCTGAGACGGCTACATTAATAATAATGAACATATATAACTCAAAACAAAATCATAGAGACAAACTGGGTATGTAAAAAATAATAATCATTTAGGTATACATGAATCACTTCACATGAAAGTCACAGTTTTCCACAGAAAAAAATAAAGAACTTTAGCCTACCTTGCGTACGTTTCTGCACTGGTAACAAAAGAAATATTGACCTTTCTGCTGACTAAATTGTGTTACTAAAGTGTAAACTAATAAAACTTAATATGCAGCAAGCCTAAGAAAAGTGGACAGTCTTCTATAAACGTGCAAAACTCCACAGCTGCTGAAACTCACTGCCACAGACACTGGTGTTATACAGCATAGGCCGTAAGAATTAAAATCATTATATCTTAGAAACCGTAGCAGCACAAACGCTAATTTTCCCTGCACAAATCTGCACAAACGTAGCACTAACCGCTCCGCCTATTTGCCTTTACGTTTCAAGTGGGTGGGGTCAGCTTCACTCTGCTCCAGGGCTTTCATCAGGCGTCCCAGACGCTAACGAAGGAAGCTTTGGTCAGAACCAGGCAGTGGAGCTTAAAGCTCCTCACCTGTCTCTAGCCAAAGTCCTTCAAAGAGCAGCTCTCCTCGTATCTATTTATTGAAAACTGTTATAATACACAACAGAACACAAGCACCTCCCACCGTAAAACCCACAAAGGTTTGTGGGCCTCAAGGCACTATATGTGTGTATGTGTAAGCACGTGCGTGCGTGCATGCATATGAGAATGTGTCTGTTGGCTCACCAAAAGGATCATAAAGGATCAGCAGGAAGCTTACAACACAAGTCACAGATCTATCAGATAGGATGTATCTGTAATAAAACCTCACCCCAGCACCAGAGTGGCTGGA